CCGGCCGGAGCCGGCGGAGCCAACGGAGCCGGCGGAACGATCCGGACGGGACCGAAACCATGTGTACCGCCAGCGCTAACGCTGGTGGTACAATTAATTAATAATCATAAGTAGCATTATATTTTGGATTTCTACCTTCTCAAATGGACTAGCTGTGGCTGTGGCCCCCTGATTGGGCACCTTGATCTGTATGGGAGGTGTGGAGGGGGTGGAGCTCCCACGTGCCGTCCCCTTCTGGACCACGATGACATTGGGCTTCCCTGGCACCTGAGAGACGGTCTTCTGCACTGTGGAGACTGGAAATAAGCAAAAGATTAACCACTCAAACAAGAGGATCAGAGAGGTGACACAGGTCACTGTCCTAAACAAGGTCAGTGCATATGTATAAGTTATGTCATTATGACAACTGAGTATACTTTTAATAAACTCTAAATATTTACACCACGGTGTGTGCTGAGAACAAAAGATACAGATATTTATGTTAAACTTTTCAAGTTAGTGGCTATAGGTACACAACAACATTCTCAATATTGAACACAGTATAAGTCAGATGAACCACTAGTTAACAAGGTCACAGGTGTGCGTGGTATCCACTCATGCTTCTCAAGTGTTATTGTCACCAACAAACCACTGATCCATAGTCTACCTGTCACATAAACCTTGGTCAGTCTGGTGGTCAATACTCACAATTACTGGTCCCAGCTCTGACCGAGGTCAGCTGTAGTGTCTTGGGGTTCACGGTGACCACATTAGGAGAGCCACTGCCCCCGCGTGATGTTGAGGCTGCTATCACCTTGCCTCCCTGTGTGGTGATATTCAACACTTTACTGGGCACACTGTGACTGCCTGGAATGGACAGATTATAATTATAATAATTAAATTCTTTGTACCATATAAATTATTCTATAAAAGATCCATTGTTTTTAATCTTTATCATCAAAACAAATTGCAGTGATTCAAACTCGATATGGTTGTACTCTCAGCGTTTCTGTGAACACACACACACACGCATACACACACCAGCGCAAGCAAGCAAGCACACACATACACACATGCACACACACACACACACACACACATGCACACACACAAACAAACTCTTAGTGTTCATATGTGCATGCCAACCTGCCACCCCCACTGAAGCTTTGGTCACCACTGCCAGAGAGCTCTGAGCACCACTGGTGACCACCACCACCTGGTTCCCACTGGCGCCGGTGGCGAACTGAGGCTTAGGGAGGATCTTACTGCCTGCAGAGGGCACACTGTGAGTAATGATCTTCATGCCTAGAACACAAATATTAATTTATAAGTCACTGTAGTTTATCTTACTGCCAGCAGAGGGCACACTATGAGCAGTGATCTTCATGGCTAAAACACAGTTAGAATAACACCATGAAGAGAAATGAACAACTGACAGATAACAGCTGAGTATCAATGCCAATTTGTTCCCCATTTACACAGTATAACTCTGCCATCCATCATACCTTCTTCCTGCTTTATCTTCGTGGGTCTCCCCAACTCTCTCCATCCCAGTTTCAAAGTGAAAATGACACAAACCAATGGCCTCCATCCAGTTTGATCTGTTGGTTTGGCCCCCCTGACTCCCCCTCCCCAGCACAGCCTTACAAGGAAAAGATGTTTAACTAATGAATTTCAGGATGTGTCATACCTCCTTCCTGTTTGATCTGTATGGTGGGTTTAGCCATCCCCCCCCTTGCCGTGTCACCCTCCCCTCCCCACCCTCAAAGGCAAAATGACACCTTAAACATATGACCTTCAGGTTGTGTCATACCTCCTTCCTGTTTGATCTGTATGGTAGGTTTGGCCATGGACTTCAGCTGTACAGGGACACTCTGTGGAGATGGCTGCTGTTGTGGAGACATTGGGATTACTATACCTGGCTTGTGACTGCCCACCTGTGGATAGTGAGAGAAACAGAGAGAGAGAGTGTGAGGTCTTCATTTTTTACTTGTGATTATTAAGCTTGAAATTCTTTGATATATCTTTTTTATGTTTGTCTGTCTGTCTGCCTATCCATTTTATAATTTTTAACCACATAGCTATTTGTCAAAGTTTAATGCGAAGTTGCTGCATTACATTAAGTATTATATGAAATAAGATTATTTTTTCTCTTGTGTTATCTCACTACTGGGTGAATCATATACTCTCTCGTTTCAGACTGAGAATAAAAGAAACTTAAAATAAAAAAACTGTCCCTTTTTGGTTGGTTACAAGATTTCATATTTTGGTTAACAAAAAATAATTGTCTCAATTCAAACAGAGTAGATACAATAACGGTTACACCTAAATACCTTACATAAAGTCACCTTTTTTCACACCAATTTGATATTAATAAAAATTTATGTTTTTCATTTTTTTAGTTCCATAGATTACCCCTACCTGCTGCACTTTTGGCCTTGTTTGTATGGTCTTAGGTCTTGGTCTGGTTATACTCAAACCACTGGGGTGTGAGCCTGGAAAATAGAGTACATACTACACATTTGTATGGTCTTAGGTCTTGGTCTAGTAATACTCAAGCCACTGGGGTGTGAGCCTGGAAAACTTAAATACAGTCCCATGTGCATGAACTCACAGGTGCATGTACAGGGTCGTAGCCTGAGCAAAATGCCAGGGGGGGCAGTAAGCGGACACGAGGGGGCGAAGCCCCTGAGGGGGGAGGGGGTGTCCCCCTACCAGTGTGGAAAATTCTAAATCCCAGGGGGGGCAGCTGCCCCCCCCTGCCCCCCGGAGGATACGGCCCTGATGTATGTATGTGCGCAGGTGAGTGTGCACTATTGTACGTGTAGGGGTGGAACTTATACCTGGTGAGAACCGACCCTGAGTAGATCTCAATAAGTGAAAATTAATTCCAATTGCTTTTCTTATGAAAGTATAATATAAAAATATCAAAATGTCAAATCAATATCAATTCAAATCAAAATTTTATCTTAATTTTTACTGAATGAAATTTAACTAGACTCAAAGTTAAATCCAATTTCCAAAAGTTCATCAAAGTAAACCTAAATTCAAATATGAATTTTAAAATAATTCATTTCAAAATGAATCCAATCATGATAATTTCTCAATTCAGATCTATACCATACCCTGTGAAGACACCACTGAGGCAATACTCCCCATGGTGGAGGAGCTAGCTGGAGACACGATAGTCTTTGGGTACGATCCTATGGCTGCCGTTGCTGTGGTAGCTGTCGTCTTGATTATAGGCACAGTGATGGACTTCTGGAGAATGTTAGGGGTGCTGGACTGACCAGAGCTGGACACCAGGATGACCTGAAGTGGACAGTGGTTAAAATATACAGATGAGAAGTCCATCTTTTAATGCTTTAACTTGAGTCAAGGAATTAGTGTTAAAACTTTTTTCCTGATAATTTCAGTAATCTACAATAAGTCACCGAGGTATGCCATATCCAAAACTGTCACCAAAATTACAATCCCAAAAACAACTGTTGAGTTCTGGTTTTAATTGTTTAAGTCACTCAAAATGGAGATAGAGACTGGTGGTCTTCACATCAGGAGGTAAAGATGAAAAATTTAGAACTCATGACTGGTTTATAGATAGAAATTTTCTAGACAGTTTTGGATATGGTATGCTGATAAATGAAAATTGGCTGTAATTTTCAGAAAAAATTAATATAAATGTTCAACACCTGATCCAGTGCCTATAACTGTTACAGTATTCCTGTTGACTGTTCTCAGCATTCCTGTATGAAAAATTTTACACCATACAGCAACAAAGATGAATGTCCAACACATTACCTAATGGTCTCGTAATGACTTGATCTTTTCTTGGGGGGAAACTGTGAATTTTACAGCTAAGGTATTTTTCCAAGTCATAAATTCTTGAAATTAGAACATTTATCTTTGAGTGGTAGCTAAAAAACTGAAAGGTAGGCTACCTTATACTTCTATGCAGTAAAAACACCATAAATACCCAAAATTATATTTTAAACGATTCCTAAATTATGTTTCTGAAAGATTGATAATTTTTCCACATTGAAAGGATCCCAGTGATTACCAGTAAACCGCATTCCCCATATTTACCTTCTGTGAGGGTGTGACAGTGTTCTGCATCTTCTGTGGACTCTTGGAAATGGTAATCTTCATGGGGGAGATACCGTGGATGGTGTTGGAGGAGCTGGAGGTCGTGGTGTACGTCACCTTGGGCGTGGGCAGGGATACCGTGGTGACAGTGCGAGGAAGAAACCCCTCCACTGAATTGCTGCGTTTGCGTTTCCGTGAAGGGAATTCATCTTCCTCTTCTGTGTTTATTCCCCCTGAAATGACGACAAGACACTTGACACTCGTCAAAAAGAGTACATTGCAGGTTAAATCATGTTCATACATAACTATATTGTTTTCACTTTCAATTGCATTTTCCGTTTATATATGTTATTACAGATCATAAAGACAAAACCTGTCAATGCAAAAAGTCCTTACTTCATTTAAAAATCTTTCAAATACATAATTTTGGGACCATTAAAATATGTTTCTATGTAGTATTTATAACCAAGTGCTTTGACTATACAGAAAATAGGTATAAGGTAGATCGCTTTATTTTTCGTTATCTTACCATCACTAAATAGGATTATTCTATTTTTTAGAATTTATGACTTAAANACTTGACCTGCGTTTTATGAATATTCATCAGCTCTGTAAATATAAAGCCAAAAAGTAAAACTGCCCTCCACTTATCGTGTTAACAAGGAAAGTGCACGGCGCCGGCATCGGCATCGGCGACGGCGATGACGGCGACGACAGACACAGGTGATGGCAATATGTACAGACACATCTGTGTCTGTACATAAAAAAATAAAGAATTTGTTAAATTCACAATTTACCCCCACAGAAAAGATCAAGTGATTACCAAACCCGTTTTTTTACAAACCCGACTGTATTAATTTATTGAAATATCCCCCCACCTTTAATGTGTATTGACATCCCACTGGGCAGGACCACCACATTGGAGGCTGGACTAGATGGACGCTGTTTGACACTGGCCACTGGTGTGGGGGTCACAGGACCAGAGGCAGGGACCACCTGTGGAGAGTCTGGTGGCGCCACCTGGCTAATCTTTGCTACTGTCACACCAGGTGGCACTGGGGTGCTGGGTGCCTTGTTCACTGGAATATCAAGATAAGGTCAACAAAAAGTTAATTCTCAACTTTTGCAAGTAAACAGTCTTACAACATTAGACCTCTCATAAAGATCACAATGGTAGGTCAGTCATATGATCAAAGCTAGTGGATGAAGGGTCAGAATATCACCGATAAAAACATGTTCAGTTTTTTTTTAAATGAATGTCTAGATTTTTCATTCTCACTTGTACTCCTCAGAAACTAAAACTTACAATCTTTATTCCCTGTGACTGATGGCAGAGGCATCATGGCGTTTTTCTCAGCTTGTACTTGAGCAGCGTGATTGGCTGCCAGGGTAAATGCAGTCTGGGGCACCAGTCGTGGCATTAGAGGTACCAAGCGCCTCCCCTCTACCAGCCACTCGGAACTGACATTAGGCCCAGACATGCTGAATGGGAAAACAGTCGGATTTTCAGTGATATAAATACATTTTAAGTTAAAGTTATGTATGATTTGCTGAAAGAAGAAAACATACAGAATTTCAGGGTTTTAAAGTTTTGTACTTCATATTCTATGCTGAATAAGAAAACTTCAAAATTTCAATATTTTAGATTTGAATTAGCTAAAAGTTTTTTATGTCCTGCTCAGCAAAAAAAAAAAAAAAAAAAAAAAAATTCAAGTTAAGAATCATATAAAAAAAGCTGCTTTAAAGTCTGCGGGTGTTTATATGACCATTACATACCAATCGGCAATTGTTGTCAGTTTTTCATCATTTACAGCTCTCCTGACTTCAGCTCTGTGCCGTTCTGTTGAAATGCTAAAAATAATTAATTAATTATTAACAAACAAACAAACAAAATCACACAACTGCATTAAAACTATTTCAAATAGGTACTAGTAACATGCTTTCATTTTTCAACATAAGGCAGCGTTTGTGCTTAAAATTCTTTTTTAGCTAAAACTGTGCAAATCTGATACTCATAAACAAACTAGATGAACACTCAATAAAAATTTGCAATATCTACTAGTACATTAAAGTGGATGCACCTAAAAACAGATGATTGGAAAAATAAACTAGAAACATCATGTATATCTGAGAAGTCTTAGGCCAAAAATAATATCACCTTGAATTGTAAAAAGCTTCTTTTTTTCAATAAACTTCCTTTTTACTTATTTATTTACTTATTATATATATATATTTTTTGGAGGGGGACTTTTAATACAAGTATTGCACCTTACCTCAAAGACTGCTGCAGGTCTAGCAGCAGTTTTTTCTTGTCCTTGGTGAGGTCCCCCTGTGCACGGAAAGCAGACACCAGGTTCGAGTAGGCCTCCAGTTCCAGGCGGCGCAAAATACGTTTACACTCATCTCTGGACAGATCTAACAGCTGCGGCCAGAACGTCATCCTGACTGGAATGTTTATGGAATTAATGTTGCAATTTTAAAATGAACAGCATGTAAGCATACCGAATATTAAAAACCTATTGTTGTTGTTGTTGTTGTTATTACTATTATTATTCGCTAGCACCAGCTAGGGATTGAAAATAGTCTGGTGAATTTCACCATTGGCATTGTCACTGTGTCACTACACATTACTCTTCATTTTTTTTCTATCGATGTTTTTGAAATTAATTGTTAGTGATACAATTGGATACACAAACATAGGTAAAAATGATAATATTTCCAAATCATGGAGAAATCCGTCAAAGTTTTAAACACGTGACACAGTTCAAAGATGTAACATCACATTGTCTACAAAGCCGATGTGTGGCTCCACAAATATTTGGATTAAAAGCCAAAGAACTTCCTAACAGCACTACGCCAGCCTTTGATAATGGGGATCCTTGACCTTATTTTTATAATCTTACCTTCTACCCAACGGAAAAAAACCTTGCTTGTTGTATATTGACGCTTTTCACATTTGATTGTTTTTAGGCTCGGTTTTCTTGCACGGCGACCACCATCTTGAAACAGACTGGCGCGAGCTTACAGCGCATGCGTTAAATGCCTATTTTGCGTAAACCATTCTCTTTTTAGGACAGAATCGAACGCTGTATGCTGAGAATTTAGCACAATGTGACCACTGTCTTGGTTTAATCGCATAAAACAGTATTTCACATCTTGTTTCTTAGGCCTATATATAAAAGTTACCGTCCTTTCTTGTATTTCTAATGCCACCTAGCGGATGTTTTAACACGCATTTCCGTTGACACCATCTCCGTACCAGTAATGAACCAAAATATGAGTACTTTTTAAAACCATATTTGTTTTT